GTAAGTTGGGGTGTAACTGGAGGTTATGGGCATCGAAATTGAATGAGACAGCAACAGTCCAAGTGAAATCCTACACATCCGAGCACACGTGCACAAGGGAAAGAAACAACAAACATTGTAATTATATCTTTTTGACGAATCGATATATTGAACAATTTAAGGCAGATCCTGATTGGAAAACTAAGGCTATTTTGGCAACCGTGAAGGATGATCTGAAGACAGAGATCAGTAGAAACGTGGCTTGCAAAATGAGACAGTATGCGAAGGAATTATTGTTTGGAACCAATGCAGAACAATTCGGCCTTTTGCGAAGATATGCTGCTGAGGTACTTCGGACGAATCCGGGATCAATTGTGATTATAGCGCTGGACGATCAACTTTTCAAAAGGATCTACATATGCTTCAGTGCTTGTAAAGTCGGTTTCAGTAGTGGTTGCAGGAAAGTGATCGGAGTCGACGGTTGCCATTTGCGAGGTTGTTTTGGAGGGATTATGTTAACAGCCGTAGGACACGATGCAAATGACGGAATCTACCCTGTGGCATATGCAGTTGTCGAAAAAGAAAACACACAATCTTGGAGATGGTTTCTTAATTATTTGGGTGAGGACATTGGAATGGGTAATGGAAGTGGGTGGACGTTGATGACGGATAGGCAAAAGGGACTTCAGAATGTATGTGACGAGTTATTCCCGGCAGCAGAACATCGCTTTTGTGTGAGACATATGTACACGAACTTCTTCAACGCAGGACATAAAAGCAAAATTCTAAAGGACTTTCTATGGCGTGCCGCGAAGTCAACAACTGTAGCGGAATACAAACATTGGATGCAAAAAATGCGTGAAGTCAGTGAAGCTGCACATGATTGGTTGATAAAGAGGCACCCTCGAGAGTGGAGTCTATCACACTTTTCAGTACATTCGAAGTGCGACATTGTATTGAACAATGGATGCGAAGTCTTCAACAAAACCCTGCTAGATGATAGAGAGAAATTGATTTTGAATATGCTAACATCAATTCAAATGAGTTTTATGACAAGGATACAGAAGCGACGAGAGAAGATGGGGAGACGTGAAGGTCGTCTGTGTCCAAACATTACGAAGAAACTTCACAAGAACGCTGAGATGTCTAGGGAATGTACCTTGCACTTGTCGGGTGGTCCAAGATGGCAAGTTGATTGCAGTTCGGGGACATTCGTCGTGGATCTCGAAGAACGCACATGTGCGTGCAGGAAATGGGATCTTACGGGTATACCTTGTATGCACGCTATTGCTGTTATACAAGATTGCAGGAATTCTGTCGAGGATTATGTTGAAAATTGTTACACTATTGACACATATATGAGATGTTACAATAATATCATAAATCCAATGAATGGGAAAATGTTGTGGCCAGATGTTGATGCACCTCCAATCATTCAACCTAAGTGGACGCTTGCTACAAAAGGGAAAGAGGCAGAAAAAACGAAGAAAACAACCAGAAGAAATAATTGTGGATGCTAAGGGGAAGGCATATGTGAAGAAGAAATGACAATCCACAATGACGTGCACACAATGTGGATTGAAGGGACACAATAAGCGATATCATTCGAGAGACGATGCCCCATTTTCTGTAAGTTTTCATTAGTTGTTATTAGAAAAATTAATGTAAGTCCGAACAAATTTGGTAATTCTAACTTGTATTAGTATCAATGACAGGACTGGGTTGACGCGGAATTAGAGCCAATTCAATCAAATATCCATGTTGATATTAATGAACAAGTACATAAAGTTTTGATTCAAGTTCTTTTTCATACATTTTAAAATTCAAGTTCCTGTTAAAAGCTAGTAGGCAATGAGTGTTTTACATTTGAGCTCCTACATTTTTTCAATGTTTGTACTGCTTTACAGGGTAAAATGGTCGCCTCTAGAGGAAAGGGATCTTCATCATCATTGGCGCAGGTTGAAGAACAACCCGTTTGGAGTATTGGATCCGGCCAACCTGTGATAAAATGATGTGGGAAGTTACTGTCTATCACATGGGAAGCGTGAATGTGGACCGACATTTTGCAATTTTTGGTCAAACTAGAACGACAAATGACATGGAAAGGACTTTTGTTTTTGTATCACGGTCCACAATTTTTTTTTTGTAATAGTCGATCTAATGTTCCACATTTGTTTTTGTAACACTTTCTTGCATCTCTTGTGATGAAATGATTGGGAAGCTATTGAACTGATGCTGTGGTTCTATATATAACAAATTTAGTCCTTCCAGTGCATTTTCAGCCTTGTTTACATGTGTTTTCTATCAAATTTTTCACATAACCACCAACCAAATAACTATATGTACTTCAGACAAATATAGAACTACTCACCTACACTAATGTCAAATATTTCCATTACGACAAGAAGTCATTCATTGGCATGGAATAATATATACTACTCTTAACACTACATGAAGTCCAGTAGCATGAATATAAACATAAATTACGAGAAGAGCTTAATGTCAAATACATGACAACCGAGTGCGACTACTCCAACAAAAGCCGATTTTGCTCAGTCACATTGTCTGAACTTCACATCAATTTTCCCTTTCCTTTCCCGTCATCGTTCGTCCACGAGATTTTACTTCATCCTCAGTTCCCAGAAAGTTTTACTCATGTCCCTCGCCCCACGGCCCACGCAATGGAAATTATAGTAGACACAGAAAAAGAGAATCAACCTTAAAAATTGAAAATTCAATGCTACATAGCGTATGACTGCGTTGTGAAGACTGTAAGTATTGCACATGAAGGTAGAGCTGACACCTCAATGTCAACACAGCAGTAAACTGAAGCTCGGTGCAAATAAACTTGGTTTTGTGTATTGCCAAATTCGCTTAATCTGAAACTGAAGCTCGGTGCAAAGCTTAATCTCAAATTGAAGTTTTTTACGGTTGACAACTTTCAAAGGAAGAAAATGACAGGGTTCTTCGATTTCGATTTCGCCCAACCTTCGATAGGATTTTGATTTCGCCAAACCTGTAATTTTTTGGCAAATGAACACACACCTCAATGAGATCAACGCAGGGTTCTTCGATTTCGCCCAGCCTTTTATCAGATTTTGATTTGGGCGAAATCAATTTCTAGGGTTCTTCGACTTTCTGCTGGGAATCGATTTGATTTGGGAGTAAAGTGTTCTGGAAATGAATTAGAAGATGAAAGCGTGGGTTTCTCCATAGCACTTTCCCAGCAGGTTGGCAAGAATTGACGCCGTCGGATGCCAACTCGGATTCCGTCGAGCTACGTCAGACAGGCTGGAGACGGTCATTTGGGGAATGGCGGATGGAGTGCTGTTTTCGTAAGTTCAGTGACCACCCAGAAGCAAAACAAAGTAGAGTGACCTGAACGTGACAGTTTGTGAAGAAATTGATTACTAGTTTTTAGAATCATTGTAATACTTCTTCATCTTCATTATTTGTAGTGTAATAAAATCTTTTAATTCATCTGTCATATTTTCTTGTCTTCTTTTATTCTTTTGCTTGTGTTCAAATATTTCATTATTGTGCCATATAATTTCAACATCTCAATCCAGTGGTTGATTTGATAACAATGACCAATCCTATATTTTTACAAAATGCAAAATCTTAGGGTCCGTTTGATTGCAAATGTGGAATTTGGGTGGAAAGAAAATGTTTTACTGGGAATTGAATTGCCTAGAATTTGTTTTACTGTGAATTGTAATTAATTGTATTTGATTGATATAATTTTTCACCTGAAAATTATTGAAAGTTTTGTATCCGTTTGGCTTTGTTTTTCATGAAAATTGTCTATTAAAGTGATATTTTTTTCTACCATTTGGTCTAACATTTGTTCCAATTGAAAAAAAAAAAAAAAAAAAAATATCCTGGAAAATCAAAACCAACCAAAACAATAAGAAATCTTTTTCCTCCAAAAACTGGAAAGTAGGCGCGTGGGTGGAGTGGGTGGAAAAAAATTTCCGAAGAAATTTTTTGCCGTCAAACAATGCAAAGTTTGAAAAATGAAAAAAATGTTGCCCATCAAACAGGCCTTAATTCTATGTCGGCATTAAACAGTTAGAAGTATAGTGAGTTAAATTTAGTTTGTCTGGTTGGCAGGGACCTGAAGATAGTGGATTACAAAGAATTTATGTCATTTGAATGATTCAAAAATCTAGTTTACTAGGTTTTTCATTCAAAATACTTTCTCCATTTCATACAGGTAGTCTTGTTTCTATTTTCATACACGTTAAGATAATGTAATTAATATAGTTGAAAATATAATATTTCCTAATATACCCTTACAAACGAGAAAGGAAATCAAACCTATCTTTTTGGGATATAGATAGTATGAATTTGAACCAAAAATCTTATCAGATTTTATCAACGTTTTTGCTCATCAATTTCTAGTTTCTTGATTCTCAACTTTTGTCGCCCCATCCTTATATTGCCTCTTTTTATTGAATTTCCATTGATGCGTGCTCTACATGATTTGTACAAGTTATCAGGATCATCGATTTGTAGTATTAATGCCTAATCGAGAAAGATTCAATTTTGGACCATGCTTCTTGTACATCAAATAGTACATAAGAGTGTACATAATGGACACCCGGCATCATTTCATTGGAGGGAGTGCCGGTCCCACAGGCACTCCCTCCAATAGGAAGGTGCCGGGTGTCCATTATGGACACCCTTATATATACTTTGATGTACATCTATCATTATCCTTCAATTTTTGTATCAAGTTGGATAAGTTTAAACATTACATAATAAAGGTTGGAGACAAGATTGCACCGAATCGATACATTATTCTAAAATGCATTTTTTTTCACAAAAATAAGAATCAAACAAGCTCTAAACTACTAAACTACAAAGAATTCTTTACTGAAATATTTCATTCCATGTATTTTTTCTTCCAAAAAAAATGAAAAAACGAAAGACCACACAAACACAAAAAATATATCCTCTTCCTATGTACAAAAAAGTGTCATAAAATAGAAATAAAAGTGAACAAAGTGTGGTGAAATCTAAGAGTTGGGGACCCAAAATTGCCAAATCTTTATATCAAAATCCAAACTGCCACTGTAAACCATATAAGAAGTCCCATATTCTGTAACATCCTTAACATTTTTACTATCAACAGATGCTGTCAAACACTTGACAGGTCCGCTATGTCCTTCAAAAACTGTTAAACAAGAAAAACTCTTTTCAATTCCTCTCTTCCAAATTCTAACTGTTTTATCTGCTGATCCACTGCACAACAAATCTGAGACAACAGTCAGGCACAATATGGCCTTAGTATGCCCTCTAAGTGCCCCTGCCACCACCATATGATCATCGCTACCACCACCGCCACCATCGTTCTTTTCCCACACAATTATCGACCGATCGCAGGCGCCGGAGTATAAAACCGCGCCATCGGTGCTTATTGCTAAAGCATTTACAGCTGACTTGTGTTTCTCTAGTGTAGCCACTAGAGAGTGTTTTTTATTTCCTTCATGCTTTTTCCACACCTTTATCTTCCTGTCTGCGGAACCAGTATAGACATAGCCTTCATTGGACAATACTATGGCATTTATTGCATCATCATGTGCATTCCACACTGATTCTAGGCATTTGAAATCCGATGTTCGCCATACTTTAAATGTCCTATCCCATGAAACAGAATAGAGTAAAGAACCATTTTCTGATAAGGCCAGTGCTGATACTGTATCAACATGATGTACCCAAGTGCATTTTTTGTGTCTGCGTACTTGTACATAGTTCTTGGCAGAAAACAGCTTCATGTATCGGTCGTTTGCCGTTGGTAAAGTTGCGATACATTTGAGGCGCGTTTGGTACACAGTACTGGATTCTTGGTGAGATGGGGTGGGTTCGTTATTGATTTTCCATACGCGTATTTTTTGATCTTGGTGTGCAGTGAACAATTTGTCTCCCAAGACCACTATAGCTTTGACAGCACTATAGCCTTGTGCAACTATGTTATGATGGGCCAGATTGTGGGTGCTAGAGGAAGAGGGATCTCGGTTCCATAGTCGAATTTCGCTGTTGGACGAGCCGCTCAAGAGGTGTTTTCCGGCGAGAGCTAGGGAGAAAATATAGGAGGAATGGCCTTTGAGGGTGGCTAGGCAGTGGTGGTTGGTGATGGACGGGGACTTTTCAACTGGTGGTGTTAGAGAAGGAACCGATGGCAAGCTTAATTGCGAAGAAATCGAGGAATTTGAAGCCAAAGAATCACCCGAGCGTAAATGGTCGTGATCGTGATCTTGTTGTAGTTGATAAGGATCTCGTTTAATCGATTGGCAAGGTAAAGGGCACGAGAGAAATCCCATTTATGGTTAGAAGAATAGAAAGATATAGAAGTAAAATATGGAAAATTAACTTGCTTATAAAGAATCGAGAATTGTGGGGTGGGGGTGGGGTGGGTGGCGTTTGCTAGCAAAAAAGGAGAATAATATGGAGAAGAGAAATGCTAAATGTACACCGAAGAATGAAGAATGGGGCCAAGTGAAGTGTCCAATGCGAGAAGTTGGAGTCAGGGTGGAAAGAAGGTTTGCATCAATGCACGGAGACGCTCAAATCTTTGTACCAAATTTTTGACGTGTCAAATCCATTATTAATTTTTTGTGAAATTTTATTTTAATAACTTAATTACTTGGATCTTTAAAAATGAAATTTCAAGTGAGGACTCGTTAAATTCTAACAAGCAATTTGTTATGTCTAAAATTCCAACATAGTTGTCGAATTCCAAGATCAATATGCGCAAACGAGCCATCATCTTTCATTATATGTTGAAAAATAAATTCCACTTCAAATATAAACGAAATTAAAAATCAAGAATTTAAGTTAATCCTATTAACAATGTTGACATTTTAAGGTGAAACTTCAAATCTTATAATAAACGAGTAGTTTAATTATTCTATTGCTCAAAGCAACGATATTCTATAATTGATGTTCTCAAATGACCTAACATATTAAATGTGGAAGCCCACGTCACTTAAATATAAATAAAGTTTAAATTTATGACTAATTTGCTAATTGAGGAATAGACTATGAATCCATTATGAGAAATTTTTCCCATCTCTTTTGTATGTTGCTTTCCTAGGAGTGGGTTGGGTTCATTGTACTCTTCTAAGACAACTTGCTCTCTTGATGATAAAAACCAGATACTTCCATTGATGGGCTAGCTGGATGCATTATAACCAAAATCCAAAGCTTACTTTTTATCCAAGTTGCTTGTTTTACATACAAGTAATGTTTACATTAAAAAATCAATGGAATTTTGATTTTTACTTACTAAAGTTATGGCCCTACCACTTCTTTAGCATTTAAGCTAAGATTATGCCAAGTTTCTTATTCGATCCATACTTCTTGTTGATTGATTGAGAATTGTGATGATAATTCTAGATTAAAGCCGATCATAAAGTTCACCTAAAGTGATTAATAATCAAAGATATTTTATGACCTATCCCGAAACTATATAAACAAACGAGTTTGATCTCCTGTCCACAGTGAACAAGAGTTATAATGCTCACTGTGAGTGTGACAACATGTGGTGTTGCCACGTCATACATGTGTTATAACTCTTGTTCACTGTGGACAAGAGATCAAGTTTGTATAAACAAAATTGTCCATGAGAGCCATGAACTGTCAAGTGTCAAACGTAACACGATTGACTAAGGAATGTGTCATATATGAAACTCCAAATGAATTATGTCAATCAAATTCGCTTTACACTTCTAGGCCTCGGATTTGTACCAGGAAATATGGCACTTTGCCAGAGGTGAGAGTACTTTATTTTTATCTATATTTTTTCACCTCTAAAGAAAAATATATTACTAATTCTTCTCGCCAAGAAATGCATACGAAATTTATCTATATTTTATCTTATTAAAATCTTTAATAAATGGATATCATTTTGGTTCAACACATTGACCCCATTGTGCAGTCTCTTTCGGGTTGTAATGCCAGTCTTTTTATTTTTCTGAGATTGCGCGTTTTATTCTTTATGATTCCTGGTCTTTGTTCTAAACATGTTGGCTCAATTATGACTTTATTCCAATTCTTGTTCTGTAGGACCTAATTGTGTTATTATTTAAAAATGGAGGAACATTTTGTGGATAATCTCAAATAATCACATATTTGTTGAAAATTGGGGCCAATTTGGCATAATTTTAAGTGAGACTCATTTTTTTTGTTTTGCAAGATCAAAAAAGATTCATATTCTCTTTCGACAACATCGAAATCACATAATTACTTGTCAAAAAATGCTCAGGTGAATGACCGCAGATTTGCCAAGGGGTGGCGGCTTTCCCTTGGTTCGCTACTCATATAAATCAAATGAGGTTACAGTTTGTACACACTTGGATCAGATATTCGAGAAGCAGTTCTTCTTCCTGTGCACCCCCTTTACGTCATGAGAACGAGACCTCAGAGGAGTGACAAAGCGCACCATGACTTTGTCTCCACATAACATCTGTCTTTCAACATAAATGTCGCCTTTCAACTATCGCCTGGATTCAAACTTCCAATGCTCCATTAAAAACCCTCATGCTTTACCATTGTGCCATGTCCATGGGAGCAACTTAGTTTCAGATCTTGATTCTACGGTTCTTTGTATATTTATTACTATGAAGGGCTGTCTAGATTTCCTCCTAAATTGTACTTCATTTATATTTGTTAGTAACAAACACCTCACAAAGAATTCTCATTAAAATTTGTCGCTTCATATGAAAATCTTGTAGTGTTTTTCACTATGGTCCAATTTTTTTCCCTATGTAATGGGACCATGGTCCTCACTCCTCGGCCTCTTTTTCCTGGAAATTTTGCTTTGTTCATATGTCGGGAAAATCATCTCTAGAAGATAATGACAACTGTAGCTGGTCTTGATTATTACATCTTGAATTCAACTCATCAAGACAAATAGCAATATAAAGTGACCATGGTATTCTCGACCTTGTGAAGCGTGTTTAATATGCAATACTGAATAAAATTATACCGCAATAGACAGTATTTTTGCTCTTTTGAACAAGTCCTAAACGCTCAATCAAGCCCAGTCCTTTTAAGCAGCCTATTGAGACTTTCGCGTGCAAGTGGAAGGACCCTTTTTATCCATTTGCTGCAAGTGGGAATGACTAATCGATTGGGACAAAATATAGCAAAAGGGAAAGCACATACAAATATTTTGAATCGGGGTAACATACATTTATGAAAATTTCATATTACAAAAAAAGGTATTGTATGAGTGAATATCGTGTTTGGTATAAGCTAAAAATATTTTCAAGACACTCTCTATTTATAAACAACATTTTATGTATAATAAAAGTCATCTTTAAATTTAGATAATAAAATTCTTTATACACTCCAACAATGATCTCTATTTTGACTCTTCATCTTCGTTTTTCCAAGAAATATTATTGATTTATCTCCATATTTTATTTAACATATTTTTTTATATGTTAATGACTGATTAATTCAAATAAATTTGAATAATTTGAAATATTGAAATGTATGACCAATTAAATGTAATTATTAATAAAGAAAAATAGAGATTGGGTTTAAAAAAGTTAGAATGGAGAATATCTTAAAATTTATTTTCAAACATTGAGTCCCTAAAATATAAATCATCTTATATTAATAAGTGAATTAAACTACTTGTACATATAAAATGTACACATTGATTGATATCATTGTATGTAAAAAATTTGACAGTTGATTGAAAATGTATTGTCAAGATCAATGTACCAAAACCTGTCAAACTCCCAATAAGTGTAAATCAATGTGTTAATCTTCATTTATATATAGTATGGTCCTTAAATGTATCTTTTAAATTCGAGTCTCCTCAGGGTCACTGATGTGAGTACCCGACCGTAAACTTCAGGACCTGTAGGATTAGTCGATGTGCACGAAGGTTGGCCCGGACATTCACGGTTATAAAAAAAATAAAAAATAAAAATGTATCTTGTAAATACTCTAATCTATTTAATTACAAAAAGTTAAATATTTTTCAGACTTCGATTAAAAAGTAAACTCGTGTTTGAGCTCATTATTTGAGAATATACTTTGTATAAATTGATTGAAAATAAGTTTAAAAAAATGAATTTTAAAGTATGGGATGGAATCAAACATTGGCTAAGTTTTTTAACAAATTTAAAACTTACAATTTCCAGACCAACTAAACATAATTTCACAATTGAAAGAGGGAAATTTGTCAAAATATACGACAATAATTATAATGTGGAATTTTGGTACTTTCACTTTTCTCAATATATTCAAACAATCTGTAACCCATAATTTGAACCTCCTAGTCTTCGAATTAATTTTCGAATAAAGCTATCCGTACAATTATTTAAACCTTCTAAAACTATTCATAGTCAATTTTTTACAATTAAGACAAGAATTCATTGGAATGTAATTATTAGATTCATGTAATTCACATTCCCACTTGTGCACATAAATTTCTGACTTTGAAATAATTTATCAACCTAAGAAAAATCGACATCTAACCGATTGCAACAAGCTAAACTTGCATTGGACGGATGTTCAATTTGAGTGTCGATAAATCAAGCTGGCTAGGTGTGTACATTGGATACAACTGTGACGATCCACAATATTCCTTTAATTAAACTAAAATACTCTATTTATTTTCTATCAACTTCTATGGTACAAAAAACCAATTTTCCTATTCGAAAGGAAAATTTTATTAGCATGGCATGATCTCTTTTATTCATAATTTCACATCCCGAAGACAAAACAGTTGGAATAGCAAGGGAGAAACAGTGCACTTTCTTCCACAGGTAGAGGCTGCCTGAATGGATTTAGCTGAATCTGCACAAGAGACCGAGATTTTTCAAATTTATAATATTCCATGTTAAAAGACTATTGACTACTCGGCGTAAAGAAGAAGGAAAAGTCTAAGTGTACATAATTTGGCCACATAATGGTGTCCATAATATGATGTGGACAAGATCTGACTGTTGATGTGAAAGTGTGAGATTTGAATTAAAGGTTGGATCCAGTGCCACGTGTAATTATGGACACCATTATGTACAAAATTATGTACATGTAGCACTTCCCAAAGAAGAAATGGAACACACTGGAATTGTAGGAGCACAGCCTGTTGCAGAACTTATGCAACAAGTTGCCAGATGAGAAGCTTCTTCACAGTAATCAGAAAAAACTGCTGGAACTTTGATCTCCTTTATTAGCTCCTTCAGTGAAAAATAGAATGGAATTATGGAAAGAACAATACCAGTTAGTTTTTTGTAAAATTGTCCAAAAGCAGAAGCTAATGTTAAGCTAAAAGTCTCCCTTCATGCGACAAAAAGGAGAAAAAGAGAAACACTGGACTGTGTGGAGCCTAATCAGATCGCCCTAATAGAGGCAATATCTTATTATTGCATAGTCTCCCGTTAGACAACCACTATTCCTGCTACATAAAGCATTTGTTACGGGGGTTGTTTTTTTACTGCACAATTGATGTGTGAAGAAAACGTGTATTCGACTTCTCCATTGTAGTGAAAATACAGCTGTGGGTGGACGTAGTTCTCACATTGAAGATGAACCAGTGTGTGCTTTACTCGTTTTCTTATTGCTTTCGGATTATTGCTTCCGAAAGAAGAGATTAGGATCTAATCCATAACCAAAGAAACCAAGAGAAGAGAGAGAGGAAGAACCCGTAAGGATAGTAAACTCACAATTGTTGGTAACCAGCTTGTATAAGCAGCAATACCGGCATTTGGAGCTATAATTAGATGAGGTGGAAAATCCTGCAAATGAAGTATACCTCGTGAGAAGAAAATCAAAACTATGAATTATGTGCATCTAGATGATGGAAACAACCTTTGCTATATCTCTGTAACGATCGTGATAAAAACCTGCATGAAGCCGTAATATGACTGCAGATGAGTCGCCCTTGGATACATGTTGGCTAAGATTCTCAACTGAATAGTTGCACTGACAATCTATTTGATTACATTTAGCATAATTGTAAACATTGATTTTCCCATCATCCCTGATCATGTGAAATAATTCTCATAAGTAACATGTAACCGCTAAAACTATCAATTAGAAATTGCCAACAGAAACTGAGAGGGAATTGACAAGAAACAAAGTTTTTTAGATGTTTATTTGATTTTCCAAATCTTGGAGAACTTTTGCAATTTATATTATTCATAAAGTAACAGCAGAGATAAGTGCTACAAATCTTCATGTATAACGTTTTCTTTTAATTATTTTTCATTTAAACATTTTTTTACCAAAAGTAGAAGGGTGGAAAGGAATGGAAAAGAATCATCCCGGCGAACACCAACTTCAAGGTTCCAAATTCAGAGTTTATTAAATTTCGAAAATAACATACCAAATTGAATTAGCCAGTGATTTAAGGTAACATCGGTTGAGATACACGGAAATATGAGAAAAATAAAAAAGAAAAAAAAAACAAAATGGTGGTTGAAATAAGTGAACTGTGATTTCCAAGACAATAAATAAAAAAACGAAAAGAATATCAGACTATTTATTAAGGATTCTAATTGGCTAAAATATCAAATAAGTGAACTGATAAATTGAAATTGTGCTTGTTTGGGAAAAATTATAAGTTGCTGAAATTATAAATTTGATAGAAATGAGCGGTACATAAATGGGTAGTATTTGTAGGTCCAAAAAAATGTTTGGTTAAAATTAAAGTTTGACTTTTAAATTATAAGGAGATTGTAACATAAAACAAACAAGCATGAAAGCAAATGAGCAAATAAGAATCTACATTGGAACTGACCTATGTTGTGGAATTGCAGGTCCAACAAGGTCTATTAACAGTCGAATTCCAGGAAAAAGTGCAAGCAACTCTCCAAAGACAGAAAGTTGGCGAAGCTCTTTCTCTGGGCCTTCAACAAGAACATGTTTTTGTTCAGAAGGAAATTGGATAATAAAGGAGAGTAATGCAAGATTTATTTGCATGTTAAGTATAGATGATATTGTATTTTCCACATTCTACTATTTTCCTTTTTTTTTTTTTATAACCGTGGATGTCCGGACGAGCTTGCGCGCACCTCAACTAATCCCATGGGGTCCTGAAGTTTACGACCGAATACTCATCTCAGTGGCTCTGAGGGGGGACTCGAACTGGTGACCACTAAGGAGCAAACTCAAGGCCTGACCGATTAAGCAACCCCTTAGGATTAATTTCCACACACTACTATTTTCTAAAGTACTTTTGTTATATGTATAAAATATTGAAATAAAAAATATAGAGGTTCACTAGGCACATCAGATTTCCAACTTCAAGTCAAGATACAAATTTGTCCCTTTTCATACTAAAAGAAACTCTGTCAAGGCAGAGAGTCTCTGTTTGTGTTGAAAATCAGAAGTTCTCTTCAGGCAAAACTGTAATGCTGTCAATAAATGAACAAAACCAACATGCTCATAAAATGATTTTAAATTTAGGCGTCCCCATAGCTACAGAATCACGTGGCTATGGGACTGAGATAACCACCATTCCATAAGTAGCACATGTCATCAATTTGTGGAATAAGAGGATCTTGACAAGGAAACAGACTAAATTTTGGAATAGAACTACTAATCGAAAACAACTATGCATAAATGAGAAGAAGACAAGATACCTAGGTAATGTATGCGCATTTCATTACCAATTGCAGGAATCAAGCTTTTAAAAGTTGCAAGCCGAATAGCCCAATATACTGTGAGTGGCTGGAACAACAAATAACATAAACAGTACTTATAGCCTGCAATAATTTTTACCAAAATATATATGCAAAATCACAGGAATATATATTTTTAGAGCTTGATAAATATCTGAAGTTGATCTTTTTTTCTAAAAAAAAATATTTAGAGAGCTCCTTACTCGTGAATTTAAGACAACAAAATGTAAAATAGAGTACTAGAATACGTAACTAAATATAGACAAAATTGAAGTTTATACAAAGAACAAAAATTTTATGGATTCATACGGATTAATACATAACATACCCAGTGAAGAAGTAAAGCGGCAGGAGAACAAAGTGGGATGCACCTCCATTCATAGTAATCCTTCCAACCTGTTAGTTCGGGTATTGGAGAAGAAGGCCCTGCATGATTATTATGTATTTATAAATCTTGTTACCTGGGATGTAATGTGATTGAAAAAAAAAAATCAGTTTTCAAAATAATGAGACCTTTACAAGGGCATAGTGCACTTGGAAGATTCCAACCTTCAAGCAACCTACCAAAAATTTATAAGCATTATGACCAAAACGATCCCAAACGTAACATATTCAAACGTGTATAGAAACAGTCAGCTAAAGATGCTCATAGTACAAACAATTGAGTAAAAATACCATTAAATTGGAAAAATAAGCAAAATACCAAGAATGATCGGAAGAAGTAGCTGATCCCTCGCAACTACATTCACACATCCACATTCCTGTACGGTGAATTCCATTTCTTATTAACAGTGAACAACGCACCTCCTGCTTTTCACACATCTAACCGGAAAAAAAAAATTCACCTAATTAAGCTCCTGAGCACGACTTGATTCATAGAAATCAATCAATTTAAATAAATCGATCAATTAAACAATTGAAAACGTGAACCTGTCGAGTAAATAGGAAAGGGAAATTACTCAAGACATTAGCACGCTTCATTTGCTGTTGTAATCTTTCACACTCTTTCTTATGCACACTCCAATGGGAAACCTGTAAAAAAATTAAACTAGATAGTCAAGCAAGAACTTAAATACATACATCTAATTACAGTATATAAAAAAAAAAAAGCACGCGCTCGCTCGCGCACAGTACATGATATATGTACGTATGTGGAAAAGACCTGGTGAGAAATGGAGCAATAGGCAACGACTCGGCAGCGACTGCAGGGTCTGGTTGCCGGGCCCGAGCACGGGCTCCGGCTTCCCCTTCCGGCGCACTCCATTTTTCCTTCTATGGTAGGGAAGCGAGGTGGTAAACCAATTGGGTAATTGAATTTTCAGTAAAATTTTAATTGGGTCCCTAAATTTTAAAGTTTTTAGTTTCAAATTTCATGACTTTCACTTTTACTTACAAGGATGGCAAAAAACATGTTCGACCCAATATTCGCTGGATTCTTCTTGAATGGAGCGGAAATTACCATTTAACCGAGTAAACGGGACGGGTACGAGACGTGAATCATTACCCCGAAATGGATATGAGGCGAGTACGAGAATCATAATCCTTGTTACTCGGTCCGTTTAAAGTTAATTTCAAATTTAATTTTTTATCAAATAAAAATAAGACTTCTCATCATTTTTAAAGAGGCCGTGAATTATTCTTAACAAATTGAAAAAAATATATGTTTTATTTACCAACTAAAGATCCGTTTGGCCCCCATTATTTAATGTTTTAATTTTTAGAATAGTATTTTTTGGAGAAAGTGTGGTTGAGAAATAAGAAAATATTTTTGATTTGTATAATATTATTTTATTGGAGATGTGTGGTTAAAAAAAATAGAGAAAAAAAGTATTATAAATTAATCGGGGGTCAAATGGGGACATAAAAATAAAAATAAAATAAAAAACAAATTAAAAAATTAAAAACGACGATAAATGGGACAGGGGACTTGTTCCACCTCGTCCCGCTTTAACAGGATATGGGGAAAACATGAAGGTGACAAAAAAACTTGATTGGACGTGGGTAGAAATGACCAATCATACTATACCTGCCTTGTTGCCATCCCTATTTTATTACATGTTGTCTCTCAAGTAAATTACTTGGTTGCTGCTCGTATTGTAGCTAATGTACGATTTAAGTGCAAGACTACAAATTAGAGATGAAAATGATAAATAAAGATTATAAAAATATTTTTAAATTATAAGGTTAAATGATATGCTTTTATTTTCATATTTTTATTTGCATGAAATCTTTGATAACACAAATTTCTATTACCCAATGATATTTCAAAATCATGAAAATTGGTTAAATTCCATAAAACCATTTTATAGAAATTCTTTTACAGTACCTTGACGTGACACGAGCTCGAAATGAGTTCAACAATTCAATTTCTTTTAACAAGAGCTAAAATCACTTTTTTACTACAATGAGAAAATAGAATTTCTTTCTTCGTCCTTACAAATTAGTTATGGGCGAACGGGACGAAATTGGATTCCCTTAGTAAATTGACATGCCATTATGCATCTGTTTGACAGCACTTAAAATTTTCAGATCATTTATGAAACACTTGCCTCATTTTGCCTTTTTTTTTTTAATTGAAAATTTTCTAACATTCAAAAAATTCTCTCTTGCAAAAATAAGAGAATAGGGGCACCGGACCGTGGCTTTTGGGTGAGATGCATTGATGGACAAGGCTGCAATTTCAAAAATGGTTCAATAAGGGCAAGAATGGAACACTAATATGATATCTTTGGACCTCAGAAAGAATTTGTCAATATCTCCGATTTCAGTATCGGATTAAATTGTCAATTATCCATATCGGAAATATGATTGACAAGCAATTCCGAAGGAACTAACAAGATAT